TACATATCGCTTGTCCCGCGGTCGTTTGTCATGGTATTTGTGATTGAAGTGTACAGTACTGTACTGTACAGTACTGTAGACTACTGTACTGTACTGTAGACACTACTGTACTGTAGACAGTACAGTAGACTTCAATCACAAACACCATGACAAACGACCGCGGTTCAAGCGATATGGTTGAAGCCAGTAGAGACTGTCAATTACAGCTAGCGACACTACACTGTACAGTACAGTACAGTACAGTATGACACTCACCCAGTACAGTACAGTCTGTCTTGAGGAATCTACCATACTGTACAGTACACTTCAATCACAAATACCATGACAAACGACCGCGGTTCAAGCGATATGGTTGAAGCCGGTACTGAGTACAGTCAAACTGTACAGTGTACAGTGCAGTCATTGTGTAGTACAGTACACTGTACACTGTACAGTATGATACTCACCCAGTACTGTACTGGGTCAGTATCGCTAGCTGTAATTGACAGTACTGTACCGCGGTCGTTCGTCATGGTGTTGTACTACATAGACCTGAGGTTCGGCGCGGTTCAGTATGGCAGATTCCTACCTACAGTGTACAGTACGTCCTTTACAGTGTACAGTACAAGTTCTTGAGCCTTGAATGACAGGCATCTGCGTTGTGCCAACGGAAATCGGTGGCGTTCTATACTGTCTACTATCAGGGCCACCATAACATAGCTCAAAAGTGAGCTTGAAAGCTGTCGCATCAGCGATAGCTCATCACTGGATGGCAATGCAAAACTAGCGTTTCTTTCCCAGCTAGTGATCAGTGTTGTAGAGCCAATCTGAGGATAAATTACCTCTCATTTTTTCCAATCCATTTATCCCTACTACCTATAAAAGTATCAAAATGCCGCGTATTATGATCAAAGGAGGTGTATGGAGAAACACCGAGGTAAGATTCTTCAATGCATTGCATAGAGTGTACAAAGTAGAAATAGGAATGTACAATACACTTGCAGCTTCCAGCAAGCGGAAAGAAATGGCATTCATTTCCGCCAAATCAATCCTATTTTCAACAGTGCTTTCCACGTACAACACGTTGATTGACTCATTACTTTATCAAAAATGACTACTATACAACGATAGACTGGTATTGATGTTAACAGCTGTAGTAGAGATTGCTTTTTGTGCCATCCAAGACATGGATTAACTGCACATGTTAATGGACTTGATTGACTGTTAGGATGAAATCTTGAAAGCAGCCGTCATGAAATACGGCAAAAATCAATGGTCCCGAATTGCTTCGTTATTACATCGAAAGTCAGCCAAGCAATGCAAAGCAAGATGGTAAGTTGACACTGCCATCAATCACATCTTCATAAGGCAGAAAAAAAGCGAGTCTTAATACAAGATTGAAATTTTATATCCATAGGTTCGAATGGCTAGATCCAAGCATCAAGAAGGTATAGTAAATCCATTGCACACTATCCATTCAGTCCATCATTGGAGAAGAATTACAACTGCTAAAGCCATATTTTGACTTCACTACATGTTATCATTTCATTCATCACTGAAATTTCCCTTTTTTAATTTAAAAGACGGAATGGACTAAAGAAGAGGAGGAGAAATTATTACACTTAGCTAAACTAATGCCGACCCAGTGGAGAACGATTGCACCCATTGTTGGTAGATCAGCTGCCCAATGTTTAGAGCATTATGAAATGTTACTGTAAGGGTGATTTTTTATTCTAGGAAAGAAAATCATCTCTATCCTTAAATTACTACAGATACTATAGGTTCTGTATCACCTTCAATGACATCAACTGATTGACATGCACTTAGGGATAAAGCACAAATGAAGGAAGACACAGAGGACAATGATCCAAGAAAGCTAAGACCTGGTGAAATTGACCCCAATCCGGAGAATAAACCAGCTCGACCCGATCCTATTGATATGGATGAAGATGGTACAACTACCAAATTGACATCAATTGATAATGATAGAGATATTACAGATCTCTACTTGATTTCAATTAGCTAACAAAATGACATTTCTATTTGATGCCTTCATGATTGATTGCCCTTATTCTACAACGTAGAAATTGAAATGTTAGCTGAAGCTCGTGCGCGTCTTGCCAATACACAAGGCAAAAAGGCCAAGAGAAAAGCCAGAGAAAAACAATTGGAAGAAGCTAGGTACGTCTTAATCTTTCATTACCATAACTAACCTTCATGCTTACATAGTCTTGATTGTACTTGAAAATTGCACAAAGATAACTCCAATTATTTTATTTGCAACTGTAGGCGTTTAGCAGCACTACAAAAGCGGCGCGAATTAAGAGCAGCCGGAATTGAGTATGTCATACTGATACCATCATGACCGCTTAGCTAATAATGATTGAGTTGATTAAAGTAGATATCATTACGTTTTAGTGTCCGTGAAAAACGTCGAAAGAAACGTCAAGTGGACTATAATGCTGAGATTCCTTTCGAGAAGAAGCCTGCTGCAGGTATTATAGAATATTCCTACCGTACTTTAGCTTCTTTCCATTGATACAACATCCTTGTCAACAACACTGATATCGGCTTTCCCCTTGTAATGATAGGATTTTACGACACGTCTAGTGAATCCTACAAAGCGTTTCAACCAGACTTTTCCAAGCTACGACGGCAAAAACTTGACGGACCGACGAGAGATGAAGTCGAAGAAGTAACATTTGCATGTTGTTGTCAATAAACGAGATAAGACATCCTATGGTACGGTTTTTAATTAGGTTTCAATAAATATTTTATCTTCGTTCAACTCAGAGGGAAAGAAAACGTGATAAGGATCGTCAGAAGAAACGTAAAGAAAAAGACATGCCAGGAGCTATCATGCAGATGAATCGGTACGTTGTCTAGTAGCACCGCACAAGTGACTTAGAGTGGTTGAATAGTGTAGAATGATCCCACTTCAATTTGATTTATTAGATTGAGAGATACTGATCCCATGATAAAGAGAAGTAAATTAGTACTTCCCGCTCCGCAGGTGTCGGATGCTGAATTAGAAGAGGTAAGACATTAAATGAAATTAAATGAAAGTGAGACATAGTAGGATAAATTTTCCGACATCGAATTATAGATTGTTAAAATGGGTTATACAAGTGAAAATGTAAAAGCATCGGCAGAAGAAGGAGGCAATATTGCTTCGCAGAAGTTGTTGGCTGATTATTCTGTTACTCCAGGAGCTGGTGGTGCTTTGCGCACTCCGCGGACACCTGCCAACAAAGACGCAATACTACAGGTATGAACTATTTAGGCTGTATACTTGTAGCTGATCATGGATTGATGAATTCTGTCTTAACAACCTGATTTTATCACAGGAAGCTCAAAATTTAATTGCTCTCAGTAATGTGGATACACCGTTAAAAGGTGGTTTAAATACACCTTTACGCGAGAGTGGTTTCGAAGGGGCTACTCCTAAGCGTAACGTTCCTGCAACACCAAATACACTGCTCGCTACGCCATCTCGTACCGCATCTGGTAATGATTACATTTACTGTATAAGTATATCAACATCGATATGTGCTGATTTTCATTTGGCATAGGTACTACACCTCGTGCTGGTGAGTCCGGCATCACACCTGGTAGAACTCCAGTAAGAGATAAGTTAAATATTAACCCGGAAGATAATTTAGATCTAGCTGATGATGGATCCGAAAGCTCTAAAATTCATCAGGTCTGTTGAGATATTTTCAAATTTCAAACAGTAAATGTTGCTTTCATATTTTAAAGAAACTGGACATGTATATGTAATTAAAGAGAATTAAATTCATCAATACACAGGGAGAAATTAGAGCACAACTTCTGCAAAGTTTATCAAAACTCCCAGCTCCTAGGAATGACTTTGAAATCGTTGCTCCAGAGGTTCTTACTATATTGATATGTAAAGAATATGTAATACTATGGACGTATACATTGGTATATCAAACTGGCACTTCTATTCTCTAGGATACAATAGAAGAAGAAAAAGTTGAACATGAAACGATGATAACTGATGCGGCTGAAATTGATGAACGAATACAACGTGAACAAGCGGCTGAAGGTATGACTTTGTTGACTTGCTCAAAATTGAAAGCAATTTATTGATGATACCCTCTGTATCGCATTGTAGAAGCGAAATTACTTCGCCGACGATCGCAAGCTGTACAAAGAGGTTTACCTAGGCCATCTGAAGTTAATGCCAGTGTTGTACGTCAATCTCAAGACATAACGAATGAATTGATAATGGTAAAGTTTTATCCATATTGCAATGATGTTCTGTAGTTCTACGACAGGTGGAATTTGTACTAAAATTAGGCATCAAATTTGCAGGCTGAAGAGCAAATTAAAAAGGAAATGTTAAGCATGTTGTATCATGATGCTGTCAATCATACAGCTACTAACCAAATTAGCGGAATACGTAGTCATAACGCTGCAAAAGAAAAGTACCATTATGAGGATATAGCAGAAGAAGAAATAACAACTGTAAGGAATAATGTATTTCGTATTTGTTGGCCAATCCGTTTTAATTAACTCTTCCCTTATTACAACAGGCAAGACAGATCATTGCCGATGAAGTAGAAAATATAAAAAGTAGCGCAGGTTATAGTAATCTTTCATTCGATGCTTACTGTACGGTATGGGATGAATGTTACAAAGAGGTATGCCATAGTGCACACTTTTGAGCGACGTTGCCAACTACCAGGAATCAATAGGGATCTGACAATTTTTCAAATTGTTTCTTACTTTTGCAGGTACTGTATATACCTTCACAAGCTCGTGTAACAAGAGTATCAATGTCAAATAGAAAAGATCGGTTAGACTTTTGCGAAAAACGCCTGGAGGTATGCTTTTTGTATTCAATTGATAGCTTTCTGTGACCCCGTTAATAAAAGAAATATTTTTTAAAGAGTAATCGTCAGCAAATGACCAAAGAGGCGAAGAAAGCGAATAAGTTAGAAAAGAAGTTGAAAGTGCTTCTTGGTGGCTACCAGGTATACGTTGTAAATAGCTATAAAGTAATATGTGACGACTAGTTGGTCTTTATATGTCAATTTACCAAAATATGTCCATGTTGAACAGGCACGTGCAGTAGCTGCACAGAAACAGCTTGCTGAGCTAAATGAACAATTAGAACAAACTAATTTAGAATGTAAAACCTTCGAACAATTGAGATTGCAAGAGTTGAATGCTATAGAAAGACGAAAAGAGGTACTGGACAGTATATTGTTATGCTTGTTTCAACGGCTTAGTTTATCAATTGAATTTTAGCCATGTTATTATACTGTTAATCTTTCATTTATTTAGGCAATGAAAGAAAGCTTATCACGCCAGGTAGAAAGAGAAAAAGAATTGCAGAACAAATATTCCTCTTTGCTATCACAATTAAATTAAATTATGTACATTAGGTGAATCACTTTTATCAGCAGTATGACTTCGTAATATACTGATATTTCGGATATAATCTTTCAGCATCATTATCATGCATTACTTATAGAAATCTTAAACGTACGGAATATCATTAATGTTAAAAATTTTTCCTCTAAATGTGAGCATTCACGTTGTCTTAAATTGCTGTTTTGTCAAAATACTTCTTATGCAGTGGTGTATAATCAGCTTATGTTTACAAGACTGCGTCAACATTTTTTGTAAAAAATATTGTGCATAACGTAAGTCCAATTCGTGACCTATTTGATTAGATATAATCATTTAGTTATTTTCCAATTGCAATAAAGGATCGTGATCAGGCAAAAACGGATCATAAGTCGTCACTTCAATAGCAGGACAATCTTGTAGTGGTATTTTCAAGCTATATGAATGCAGCATCATTCGATAAGGCTTGCTATCAACTTCATTACTATAAGTATAATCACCAACGATACAATGGCCCAACGTTAAGCAGTGAACTCTGAGTTGATGTCGTCTGCCGGTAACTGGACTTAGGCTAATTTTAGTAATATCTTCACCATCATACTTGCCATAGCCCAGAATACGGATGAGAGTTTCAGCAGCCTATTGATGAAATGACAAGAAAATACTGCATATGAAATACACGCCCAAACGGTGATGTCTAGTCCCAGATTCTACAATTTAATCAATTTTGCTACCTCTAGCTTAAAATACATTACTTAACATTGTTTATCATCAACTACAGTGGCAACTGAAAGGGGCTACTAAATAACATTACAAGATTAATGAAAGGTACTATTGTAATATATTACCTTTGGCGATTGACAGAGATGTGGATTATGATCAGGTATGCACATGCGAAATCCACGAGGATCACGTCGATCCAACCCTATCGCTTTTCTAACCAGAATATCACCATTATCACGGCTTAGGATACCTCTGACCTGCAAAAGACAACAAACCAGTGTTATACTGCAATTGAGTTAACCAAAACCGATCTCTTAGAATTAAGATACAGCTAATAACAACGATATTTCTGGTAGTAATAGCATTCAATAACCTTCTCGTTGCAATAATAATGGTCGATAGCAGACAATCAGTATTATAGGTGGTAACATAAAATGAAATGATCATCGCTACATTGTTCAGCAATACCATTGCAAGATTATTAATCCCTTGCATATTCTCACCAAAGCTAAATATTTCTTTGACACATGATTTGCTTCAAAGAGTTTCCTGGCCATATTTGCAGCCCGTTTATCAAAAGCAATGCAGAGTAATCCGCTTGTAGCATAATCTAAGCGATTGACGAACCTGAAACCAAAACAGATACTTTTGTCGACTAAAGTAGGCAGGAGTTCAGCAAGTTGTGTTGCAACAGTTGGCTTGACGTCTTCTTCGTTGCTATTGATATGCATATCGAATGGTTTGTTGATAATCACATAAGAATTCGTTTGATGAACTATTTGCACTTTCTTTTCCTTAACGGCAGTGGCCATACTGGCGTTTTACTGGTTTAGAGCAGTTGCAGGTTGTACTAGCATCAAGGCTGAGCTACTTACCAATAATTACCATGAATAGTACGAGTATACGCGTACCTTTAGTATATCTAGGACCAATCACACGGAGATCTACAATTGTGATTTATTTAGTCAGCGTAATATTCCTGACGTAGGTTTCACAAATGGCAGAATATGTATACCGCTTCGAAGTCTATTTCATAACTAAAAGAATTTGGAATCTACATCAGCCCTGGCTGCTCTGCTGATGAATGCAATCCTTCATGGATAAGCGAAGTTGCTGTCATAAGTCCCTACTACGCTCTCTGTAGCTAATCGATGCTTGGCTAAAAAGGTCAACTACCACATTAATCAGACGGAGACTGGATAACTGCAAGGGCCAGCGGTTTTGCTTCCAAATCGCTCTACATTGGAAAGGATTCGATACAAAATAGCTGCAAGCCCATGAGCAAAGCGCTAGAAATTAAAGCAAAACCTGTAGCCTGCTGCAGCCTGCATCGAGCTTTAGGGTGGTGCTGGACGCCAGTTTTCATGGGTTTTGCTTGGCATACTGTGATAACAGTCGTGAAGTCCTGTTTCAGTCCCTTCATACCGTATTGGCTAGGGACAGTATAGTGTTCAATACGGGCCATGCAAACCCATAGAGATAAAGGAAAAGAAAGTTTTTACTTTTACCTGTATCAACGCTACTAAGGGATAGCCAATCGTATCCGACCATGTGCGCACGCTCTTTGGACCTCAACGCCATCATCAGTAGTCTTGGAAGCATGATGGCTGGCTGGATGAGATTGAAGAACTTTCTGCATGCCTTTCCTATCAGGCAAAATTCCATGCAAGATTTGATTTTTCAGGGTTGGTTCATTGAAATTAGGAGAAAAAGCAAATTAAGCTTTGATTGATGATGGAAAATAGACTAATGAGTAATGTATTCCTTTTTAATGCAGGTCTACGAGCTGTAACATCAGCCCCTGCTACCGATGTAGTGGCTCCAGAAGCTGCTGATTCGAGTGGTACGGATAGGCCGAGAAGAAGACGCAAATCCAAACGGAAATTACCTCGACGACCCACTGTTGTAAGAAGAGATGTCAAAAAAATGCAACCATTACCTAGGGAAGAATATTATAAATCACCAAAGCAAATGAAAACCAACCTGATAGAATTTTTAGAGCGCCGTGATATGCATGAAAGATCCAAGGTTATTGATATCCCTTTTTTTACAACTGGAAGCATCATGGCGGTCGTCAAATCAGATCCTTACATAAAACGTGGCTCTACAAGGTAAATTCGATAGAAGGAAGCTATTCTAGTCACTAGAAGAGATCAAGTCGATCCACTACAAGTATGAGATAGAGCAGTAGATACTGTACAGATGGACGTATTTTTATATAGCCTATGGAAGAAGGCAAACTGTTACGATGATCGCTAGCACGTTCGTTTAGCAGATGCCTATTTCGTATTTTCTGCATCAACCGAAACATGCTTACCTTCTCCTTATTGACTAGACCCAATGGAAAACTAGTCAAATGGATACCTCATCTTTTTCAATCAATATTTAATGTTATAGTATGATTGCTCTACCGCTAAAATCTTCAATCTTAAATGATGCTTTTCGCCTGAACTTAATGTTGTTGATATTGAGTCGATATCGTTATTTTAGTTCAACTTTAAATTGATTCACTTCCAGTTATGGATACCGGCCATAACCTTGCTATTTTATATAATTGGCAGATTTGTAGGCATTTGTATCGCCAAAAAGAATAACAAGTTAGGCAGTACGTTCCTCCTAAGAAATATTATTGATGGTCATGGCATCGAAATGATGTACGAAACGTATTCGCCGCTCGTACAAAAGATTGAAGTACTGAAATTAGAGCGTCGACGACAATCCAAATTATACTATCTACGTGATAAAATGCCATCAGAATATGCAGTCAAGCAAAGCTTTAAACCTGTTAAGTATAACGATAACAAGACAGTGCCTGTATACAAAAGAAAATATTAATGCCTTTTTCTACTTTATGCCAATATCAGATGGACAAATAATAATTGTTAGCAGTTGTATTTGCATGCAATGCTAGTAGGTGGTTGTATATGTATAGGTGGTTATATCCATGAAAATTAGATAATGTATTTAGGTTTTAAATGCAATACCAAGATTGGAAATAACGATGGAATCAGCCTTATTATATTGTCCACAAAACTAAGAATGAAATGATGACGGTTTATACCCAAGAAATGCATTTGCGAGTCATTAATTCCGTTATTTAATATATATTTTATGACATTGCCTTGTACTATACAGTGATAGCTTGCAAAAGCGATTTATACAATATGGTATCGTAGCATGAAAACATCGATCTACTCCAAAGCTTCTGCTCTAAATTTTTAGGAACTGATGTATCTAGTCTTGCATAACGAAATAGATAAATTTAAGGTATCAAAATTTATCATATTTTCGTTAATAAAGTATAGGTAAATCGAAGTTTTATCGTAATTTCATTGGTCCTGGTCATTGCACACTTCTAATTTGGAGCTACAGTTTATTCCGACGTTTTATATAGTTGTAGGTGTGTGGCTGTTTGGGAGATATTTGGTAAATCTTTGTATAAAATATTATCATCGGCAAATGGAGTAACTGGATTAATGCAATTATTTAAATTTCAGCAGTCTAAAGATTTATGCCATGCTTGATAACGTAGGCCTTTAATCTTTACCTGTAATCTATGTCTTATTCTGTATATCGGCATAAAAATATTACCAAATTAAACCTTGAGCGTATAAGTAGATATAATGAGATAGTTATGATAAAATAGTCCTTATAATAAGTGCTGCATACGAGGTTAAACAAAGGTCCATAATGTAAAAGGTTCTCAATACAATTTAAATCTAATTTTTGTCCCTGCAGTTGAGTATAATAGGATCACATAAAGTAAGGCCTGAATTATTCGACTTTGTAGTCGATATTTTGGACTACTTGAAATCCCTAAACTGCCTTGCAACAAATGCTTATCTTTTAGAGGGAAATTGCGGACATTTCTTCATTTCACTGATTGCATATATACCGCTAATTTAATTACCATTACGAACTCAGATATGATAAAATTTATTTATGTGGCACTGCTACACAGCATGTACTGTGCTGCAGCACGCCCAAGTTGCCCTGTAAAAGTATAGTGAAGTATTCGATGCAATTTTAATGAGTTCATTGCCTAAGAGGTAAGAGATTTACAACGAACAGTACAGATGATGCATACCTGATTATATATTGCATTGCCTATAGTAAATATGTTATAATATCAAGCTGAGTTTATGTTAAAATGAAACAGAAATATCTACGGGATAAAAATAACACCAGATGTTGTCAAATAAATGGTGTTTGCTAAATTATTATATAAGGTATGTATATGTCACGGTCCATGTAAGGATTCGCGCATTCTATAGAATGCCCGGGATACAAAGTGTAGAAGCAGATTATTACTAGAAATGAAATACTGAAACCTCCATTAGCATAAAATTAACACTTGAGTGGAAAAATTAGCTATTCTATCGCTTGTTTGACCTACTAATTATTTCAAATATTATAATATCTAAAATATTTTGCCTGCTGAAATATCATTAGCGAAGATTTGAAAATAATACCAGCTTCGATCAAATGAATATTCTTATTTACCCTCTGTGAAAAACTATTGATGCTCTAGCCTAGCCAAATAGCTTAGATTAGCAGGTAGATTTGCTTACTTGAAAACTTAATGAAATAATATTGTTTTCTTTTCCTTCCTCATCTTTAATTTCCATTGTGAAATAATCTTTTATAAAAATAGTTTCATGATAGTTGCCTATAGCCTAATTCTCAACTACTCTCATTTCAATACAAAGTAGTCATTTCCGATTTTTTATTTCTTTTCATCAAACGATCGATCAATGAAAGCAGCCAAAAGACAATCATTACGCAACAAAAACAAGGTATACAACTTATAATGATACATATAAACCAAACGTGTAAATAACCTCCATATTTGCAAGCATCAATTGGTATGAAACACTCAACATCAATTAGATAATGGTATTTATTCGTATTTTACTAAATAACATCAGCAGCCTCCAAACCAATTTACACTACAAATCAAAGATTTTCTGTACTATGACGACGCTCTCTCCGGATTTGAAAGATTTTATCACATCTTTCATATCATTAACAATACCTTTAGTTTTTTTTCCGTCTGACCTTTGGGATTAATCGATACAGTAGTTTGGTCAATACTTGAAATAGAAATGATATAGTATAGGTAGATATCCATTATCGTCGTCTTATTATTTTGAAAATTTCTTTTAATAAAACACCAACGAAATAAAGTTAACAATTAGTGAATACATCTGGTACTTCCCGAGGTCATGATCAATTATTCAGCAATATTAATATTGCAAATTGTAATTGTTATTAATATAGCAAGATCGAAGTTATAATTGCTCATGAATGTAATTTACTTCTAATACTAAACTCCCTACATGTATCACTGCCGATTATATCATTCGCTGTTATTTTAGCATTTCAATATTCACATTGCCAGACTATATCACGATTATCATCAATCTTGTTGCACTACCGTCAGTTGAATAAAGTAAATTATAACAATAAGCAATGTCATAAACGATAATTTATCTTTATAGGATATTTTGTACCATTTCATTCACGAATAAATAATTTGACCTCGATCATAACATACCAGCTTGATTATAATTATTGTCATTTATCTTCTACAGCATTGATAACACAAAATTTGCATTATAATATTGGCGATAACCTCGAGAATTGAATAATGAATTTCCTAAATGGCTACCGTTGTAATTGTTAACATTTTAAACCATGATACCTCGTTTAGAGATATATATCTCCTCTTAGAGAATTTCTAGAGATATCAAATATACTGTACTCTACATCTGTTCATAATGCATGTGTCTTTATCATATTAATATTATGTTTATCATTAATGAAGTATATAGCCAGTTGAATCAGTACACGAGAATGATATTATCAAATTTAAAATATGATATATTAATTACAATCAGTGTTTGTTCTAGGATTGATAAAGCAATAATTAAATATGGAATAATATGTGTATAATAAAGAAATAAGCCAAATTTATAGGTTCATGGATCCATTGTGTTAATAAGAGATGCCGAGATGTTCTGGTTTTAATGCTATAAATTTTACCATAATCTATCCGTAACGAAATTATTGATAGAATAATTTGTTGGTAATCTTGAGCAATTAAAATTGAGGGAATGAAAAATTCGTGGAGATGACGGAAATTACAGCTGTTATGCATAAAGAAATAATTTACATTTAGAAATGATGACAAGGAAGGAAGTAATGAACATGCTGCCACATTTTATGTCTTGTTTATTGCAAAAACTTCTATTAAATCATTTCTACAACTATGAATACTCACAAGACCCAACTACCATATTATTTTCGCTTTTGATGCTTCGGACTTCAAAAGAAGTTTGATATCTCATAACCTGTCTTTAAGATTGGGGTCATCTATTGTGTCTATTTCATAAAATGATGGTTATCATATCCATAGTTTTTGGAATTTTCCGATCTGTACCTGTACCCTATTGCCATCGATGGATATTGATGGAATAAACAATAGTAAACAGCCGCTGCAGTGATTTAATCAATCCGCCCACCAGTTTCTCATATCCATATTTTATTGATTTGGACTATCAATTTGTAAACTTCTATTCCGTGTCAATTTTCAGCTGTGCTATTCACTTCTAAATCAAGATATTTATCGGTATGTTCGGCTATAAAAATTAGTCAATCTCAACTGGCAATCGGCTTTAATCTTATTACTTACCGTCATCCCTACCAAATTTGATTAATATTTTCTCTTAGACTGCAGTATTAGGGTACTATGTTGCTAGATTTAAGATTAATCCTGACTCAAATTGCTGAATTGGCCTATGCTTACCACTACTGTATAATCAATATTAACCGACCATGACTACAATAATGTTATTAGGTAGGGTTTTTGTCTACGTGAATAAAAAGGAAGGAAGGAAATATGAACAGACTTAATCATATTATAGACATCAACGACGCATTGATAACGAGGGCCATCAACATGTCAATATTCAGATCTCCTCAGTAGTTATACAAGCGATAATAAGCAAATTATCCCAATTGTCTGATAAGACCATTTATTTTTGTTATAAATATATAATGAAGTGGTATTGATCTAACCAATTTAATCTATTGTAAATAAAACTTTACATTAATAACATCAATTAAGACGAGATAGAGTACATTCAACACTTTCTTTATCTATTTATTTTATATGAAAATATCCTATAAGGTACTGAGTCGAAATCATTCATCGTTGGTGAATTTTTTTCCGTTTCAACTTCTTAAAATTTTGAAACATTTATTTGAATTAATAGATAAATTATAGTGAACAGCAGCAATAAGAATGAAATAAGAAATACTCTACTCCTATACTGAAATTGCAACTCATTTCTATCTAATGCATGACATATTTATTCATGTTTGAGAGGCTGATTCATTTGTCGCTAGAAAATAGCAATGTAAACTGAAATATGATGACAATACCGGCATCAAGCAAATCGTTATGAAACTAGTCATGCCTTCATAAATTTTTAAATTGAATTTAATTTCAATCACTTAGGTTATATTGTTTCTTCTGAAATATAGAAGAATTCCCTTGACAGAATCGAGAATAAAAGTACATACATAATTCAAAAATGGTAACACTACTTTTTTGATATTCATTAATTAAAGCGCATATTAAAATGAAAGCTTTTGGGCTAAAGATCTGACACTAATATAAGGTTTATGAATAATCTGCTTCAGAAATTAATCAACTTGTAAATCTGTATAACGGCTAAATGTAATCTGAACAAACCAGTTCATGCTGCTATTGCAGCATGAAGAGTACACAAATAATTTCATAATTTAGTAAAATGGAATACACGTAAATA